GAGGCCAGGCGGTGGGAGGCAGGCGGCAGGCAGACAGGCATCGGCACACAGAGCGCTGCCAGAGCGGCTGACGGCCGGGCTTGGCTGGCACTCAGGCGGGCACACTCGGGCTGGCGCTCGAGAGGCCGACCACTGGAAGCACAGCGATAAAAAAATGGAGGACACCTTTTAAACCATGAAAACAACACATGCATTCAAAGGGCCGTTTCGACTACCCGGTATACAGACGAAGACAAAAAAAACAAAAACAAAAAAAAATAGATAGACACACATGGGTAGCATCTGAGAAGGTCCCTGCATACAACAGCTCACTTGAAGCCTATCGCGCTGGCTGGCATAAAAAAAAAGAAAAAAAAAACACCCTGAGAATTTTCAAGTCGGGCCAGCGCATAAATCAGGACAATAAAATAACCCTCTCCATTTGGCTGGCACACGGGCGGGGAGAGACACCGAGAGCGCTGGCCCGGCTGGCACTTGACGCGCATGGCACTACTCGAGCGCACACGGGCTCCCTTTTGTTCCGACATTTTTATCCCTCGTCGTCGGTCCGGTGTATAGTGTTGATCCTCCTGGCTGGAGCCTCGCCAACGCCGCCGCCTGTCACACTCGTGGTTTCTGATGTACACAACAACACATTCCGCAGTGTGCGTGACAGCGCCTTGATGTACAGCGCCTGCCTGCTCTGACTGATGTCACAAGAAGTTACCTTTTAGGTGTACGATATGCGTGCATGTTCAGTACATGCTTACACTGCATGTAATATTCCTAGATGTATCTCACCGAAAATGTCATGCATTAATGAAAGCACATTAATTTCTGCATGAAACACTCACACTAGCAAAGACACACACACAAAAAAAACAGCGCACACTGTATGTATGTATACAACAACACGCTTTATCCGACGCACGCTAAGGCACTGAATTATTTTGCCTTGGAGCTCATCCTGTGACGTTAAAAACAGAACTGATACGTGGTGACGTTGATGATGTGCAACACCTTAGTACATATAAACTTGGTGATATATGACTGTTTCTCGAGTTTCTCTGCAACGGGAATGTCTTTATCAGAAATTAAAAAGAGGTGTTTCCTCTATGCCTGTAGCCGTGCAGTCCTTTTTTTTAACTAATCCCTTCTAGGGCGTTGACACGGGGCCTATCGCAAGCCCCTGCAAAGTTGCACCTTTGTAAAAACCTTTTGGTCTACCTCGGTTGCACAGAACCAAGAGAGTCCAAGAGACTGACTTGATTCCAAAACCACAGAAGTGTAGGTTTTCGGAGCACAAAGATTATGGCTCCAAGACATTATGAAGGAGCAAAAAAGGCGCTAAACAAGGGACAAAAAATATTTAAACGATAACGTTCCTTTGTGGCGTTTTGTAATCAAAGCTTCTCTGTTCAGTCTAATTTTCAGTAATCTAACTTGAAATTAGGACCGATATCGAAGGGATTTTGTCATAAAGGAAGGCAGTTGTATTATTTACAATAAAGAATGTTCACATTTTATATTTTTTAATCCTATGGAACTGAAAACAGGGTTAAACTTTGGCTGTGTCTGTTTCATCAATATACATTTTCTCTAATTTTGGTTAAGGGTTTCACTAAATATAATTTTTCATTATTCTTTCCTTTTTAATCAAATTTAAAACTAAATTCTTGACTGCATGGAATTGAACAAAGAAATTTTGGATGATTAAGCTTATTTTCTTATGCATTTGGTATCTGATCGCGGAAATTAAATCAATCAAGCATTTTATTTTATTTCCCTTTATGGAGTGTTATGATTACTTTTTAAAATTACTTTTAGCATTATTTGTTTATGGTATTGTTTTGCCATTGCAAGTGATTTGGCTTATTTTACATTCGTTTAAAAAATATATTTACCTGTGTAGAATTATATGTAGCAAGTTTAATTTATTTTTTGTTTATACAACTTTTTAGACAACTGTGTAAAATAATATTTAACATTTTTTTAAATACCCCCGTTAAATCACACACACACACACACACACACACACACACACACACACACACACACACACACACACACACACACACACACACACACACACACACAATCATATATGCATATAAGTATATATGTGTGTGTGTATAACTGTCTATACACTGTATTTGTATCTGCAGGTAAGGTTAATAAAAATCAATTTTTCATCAAACCCTATGAACACTTTTCATTTCGAACTTGGTGGCAACAAAGCGACCAAAACTAATTCCATAATAAAGCCAAAATTAAACAAAATATTTCATCAAAAGGGAAGGTATAGCGTCAGTTTCCTATTAGACAGACTACAACCGGACATTGACAAATAAAAATTGAAATAATTCGTATATGTGAGGAAATAAGAACCCTTAAATTAATAAGATTAACAACGAAAGGAAACTAAGACAGAAATGAAAAAAAGAAGAAAGCGAGAAAGAAAATAAATGAAAATAGATTTTAAAATGAGATCAAAATGAAAGGATAATGAATATAAAAATAAACAAAAAATAATAATAAAAAAATAAGATAAAAAAGATAAAATAAATACAATAAAAAATATATATATATATATATAAATAACATATAAAAAAGAGCCAAGGTACAGATTCAAATGACAGTGAAGAATCCCATTCATTAAACATAAGACAATGACGTCATCAAAGCAGTCGAGATTTACGTTGCTATCTAATAATATAGACGCGTATTTGTGTTTCTCTATGTCTGGAAGAACGAATAAATATGTGTGTGACTAAGGACCTGAAATAGATAACGAAGTAGATATGACAAACTTGTTACACTGAAGGAGTAAACATTCGCAATATTTATCAAGAGAAAAAGATAAACAACACGGAATAAACAGCAAGACGATTTATCTAAAAGGAAGAAAAAAAGTTCACAGTAAACATAAAATGAACCAAAGAATTAAATATATCGAAAATAAAAACGGTCACAACATACATAAAACAAACAAAATATAATAAAATAAAAGAGGGTAAGAAAAAAACATACAGATGAATTCACGCGACAGAACTGAAGCCGAGGAAATGTGCTCGGACGTGTATAACCAGCCGAAAGAAAATGACAAATGAAAATCGCCATGCGCAATATGTTGGCCAGAATGTCATGAGAATATGGTAGAATGAACAAGTATGTTGGCATGTTATACCCTATCCCTTTTGCAACTTTATCCTGCATGGGGGTGGTGTGCACAGGCGCCAAGAATGGAGCAAAAACACAAAAAAGTATTGCGTTTATGTAAGGTTCACGTTACAAATGTTTTGTTGTTCCGAGGGCGGGGGAAAAAAGGGAAAAGGGAGTGAGAGAGAGAGAGGGGGAGAAATAGAAGAGAAGAAAAAAGAGAAGAGAAGAGAGAGAAAAAGGAAAAAAAGAGAAAAGAAGAGGGAAAGAGAGAGGAAGGGGGGGAGAGAGGAGAGAAAGAGAAAGAAACTATATAAATGACAAAACTTATTACGATGTATAACTTATGTAATTTAATGTCATTTATCATTTTCTTTCAGCATCTTTATTCATATTTCGTTTATGATTTTTTTTTTTTTTTTTTGATATATCTATTCTTTTTTAAATGTTTTACCGAACTGAAAAAAAAATCGGTAAGAGGCAGCGATTTCCCATAAAATTCGTTAATTCTATCTAAATGTCTTGTTTGTGATAACCACAACAGTAATAATATCAACAATAACAATAACCTTAATAATAATGATTATATTGATGGCAATACTGACAATAATTATCACTAATATTATGGTTACAGTGATGAGGAAATACTTTTCTAAATGATTTGAAGGTGAGGTATAATAATGGTAATGATAAAAATTATGATAATGCGATGATATTGAGAATGATAAAAGCGGCAAAGATGACCACACGAAATACGAGAATAATGACAGATATAATAATAATAATAATAATAATGATAATGGTGGATAATGATAGCAAAAATCATAATGATGATGAAGATAACAATAACAAAAATAGATGATATTTAAAATCCTAGGGAGGTCAAGATTTCCAAAATATAGATTCAAGAATAGTTTATTGACTGAGAAAACACAACGCAATCTTGACAAAATGTTTCCTGAATAAACATCAACTCAAATTTTCATTCTTTAACCGTTGAGACTTCGCAATTTGCACTCTTCCCCTGTTTTTTATCCTTTTTATATTTTCCTATTTTCTTTACGATCTAACACTTTTCGTTCTTCGACTTTCGTGCGCTGATATCTTTCTTCGTTGAAATAATTATGCCACTGAAGTCAAATACTTCCTGAAACAAGTTATTTTCCCCTCGTTTCTTTCTGGCGTCGGGTATGTGGCTACTGTTCAGAATGCATAAACAACATCTGCATTTGCAATAACTTTCTAGTGCTTTCTGGCAGGCTGTAGTGAGTAGCCGTCCATCCTGGCGCCCTTAATTGGAAGGGTTGACGTGTTGGCGGAAAATGTCTGTTTTGTACCGATCCTGCAGTTGGAGGACGTAAATAATGCCACGGATATTTCTCTTTATCTGTTAAGCATACAGGAAATTACAAGCCTTGATAATAAAGCATATGCTATTTATTTACGGGGATATTGGTTCGTAAATTTTCGCAATATCAGCAATATTTCAAACGCGTTCATATATGTGAAAAGAATGGACGGGAGGTGGTGGGGCGAAGACACATTTACTTGAAATGGATGGGAGTTTGGGAGAGTTCCTCGGGTTTGAGGGACACACACACACACACACACACACACACACACACACACACACACACACACACACACACACACACACACACACACACACACACACACACACACACATACAGACACCATGGGTTACAGTGGGAATGAGGAGGCGACCATAGGTTAAAAGGTTGCGTTTGGATATGACACAGGAGACACACATTCCATAACCCACTATAGTAAATGACAAGGTAATTAATTTGTCCAAACAAGTGGCAAAGTTTACGTGAAAAAGTTTTTCTGTGGTGTTAATT